TAATAAATAATTTTAAAAATATTAAAACTTTTGCACATCACTGCCCTTCTTTATTGTATTTTATAGACTTTCGTATAAAATTTCAGCTGAATTTATTAAATAATTAAGGAGAAAAGTGTTCGAAAAAAATACCATTGAGAACCTAACAATCACATGCTGTTAAAACTAGAAATTCAATTTTTCATAACTATAAAACATGAAGAAATCGATAACTCCGAGTCTTCGACTCGAAGTCATCGATTTCTTCAAGTTTTATAATAATTAATAATAATTATTAATAAAAATAATTTATAATAATTAAAATCGTTATCAATTCAATTATTATTTTTAAGAATTTTTATATCTAAAATTCTTCTTTATATCGATTATTTTTAATAATTTTCGAAAAAGTTCTTTGACAATTTTCAAATTAATTTCTTTACAATATTCAATTTTACGAAATTTCAATTATTCGTAAATTCTTTAATTAAATAAATATTAGAAAATAGAAACTAAAAATAATATTTAAAAAAATCAATTAAACTTTTTCAAAGAATTAATTACAAAATTCAATTATTTTTTAAAATTCACGCTTTATTGCATTTAATATTCAATTATTATCTAAAATTTTAACTGCAATTCATTTTGATGAAATGAAAATCAATTTTTATTAGAAAATTCTACTAGAATTCAATTATTTAAATTTTAAATACAAATAAAATGCAAATAAATAATTTATTGAAGAATTGAACGTTTCTTAAAATTCAATTCCCATAAAAAATCGTTATTAACAAATTTTCAAATAACTGAATTCTATCAACGAATTTTAATGAAATTTTTAAGAATAATTACATTTTTCGAGAAATTCGATTAAAATTGTATTAAAAAATAATTAAAATTCTGCATTGAATTTTATTATTTATGAAAATAATTGAATTCTTGCGAAGAATTTTATTATAATTTCATTCCTCGAACTAGGTCCGTAAATCCCGTAAAAGTCCGTAACTTTGCTTGAAGTCCGTAAAAGTCCGTTTTTTTGAAAAAAGGTCCGTAAAGTCCGTAATTCGATTGAAAAAGGTCCGTAAAGTACGTAAGTTATACGATATAATTCGGATAATTTTAGAGAAATTACAAATGATTGAAGGAATTCAATTATTTTCAAAAGTAATAAAATTCTTCGCAAAAATTCAATTATGTTCAAAAATTTTTTTAAATTCTCGTCAAAATTTTAGAGATAATTAAATTCTTCTCCGCAATATCAATTATTTTCAAAAATTTTAATAAAATTCTTGGAAAAATTTCAATTATTTTCAAAAATTTTCCCTAATTTAATTATTTTTAATATCTACTATTTTAATAAAATTTTGCAAAAGAATTCAAATTATTTGAAAATTGATAGATACAATTCTTTAAAAAAATTCAATTTTAAGAAACATATGTGACTGTCCACGAGAAAACAGGGCTTAGGCCCAAAAAATAAATTTTGAGTTTTTTATGGTAATCGACAGATTTTATGTTGCTTTTTCAAATGCAAAAGTCAAAAGTTAAAAATATCAATTATTTTCGACAATATACCGTTTTAAAGCTGGGTATGTCAAGCGTAGTTAACTTCAATCGTCGACTGTCCACGACAAAACACGGCTTAGGTCCAAAAAATCAATTTGAGTTTTTTATGGTAATCGACAGATTTTATGTTGCTTTTTCAGATGCAAAAGTCAAAAGTTAAAAATATCAACTACTTTCGACAATATATCGTTTTAAAGATGGGTGTTTCAAGCGTAGTTAACTTCAATCGTAGTACTTCAATCGCTCGCCCTGTGAAATTCACGTTTGGGAGCTAAGCCCTGTTTTCTCGTGGACAGTCACATATGTAAATATTCAATAAATTTTCAATAAATTGTTTTTTTTGTATTTAAATAATGAAATTCTCGTAGAATTTTCTTATAAAAATTGATTTATAAATGGATTTCAGTTAAAATTTTAGATTATAATTGAATATTAAAAGTATTAGAGCCTAAAGTTTTAGAAATAATTAAATTTTGAAAAGGTTTCAGATACAAATCTTTGAAAATTTGAATTTTTCATATTTTTAACTAACAATTCTGTGGAATTAATTTTTTTTTTGAAAAAGTTTAATTGCTGATTTTTTTATATTATTTAAAGTTTTTATTTTCTAATATACATATTTAATTGAAGAATTTACAAATAATTGAAATTTCGTAAAATTGAATATTGTAAACAAATGGATTTGAAAATTGTCAAAGAACTTTTTCGAAAATTATTAAAAATAATCGATTTTCAGAAGAATTTTAGTTAAAAATTCTTGAAAATAATAATTGAATTGATAATGATTTTATCACTCTATCTTTAATTATTATAAAACATGAAGTAATCGATTGCTTATCGATATCTTCATGTTATTTAGTTATGAAAAAATCTAATTTATAGTTTTAAGAAAAATGTACTCTTATATATTTTTGTCAGTAATTGGTCCGTAAATGGTCCGTAATTTTTCATTTTTGGTCCGTAAAGTCCGTATTTTTAAATACTTTCACTGGTTCGAGCCCTGTAATTTTCAAAAATAATTAAATTCTTGTAAAAAATTGACAGGAATTCAATTATTTTTAAAAATTTTAATAACATTCTTGGCATAAATTAACAATAACAAAATTCTTAGCAGATCTTCAATTACATACATTCAGAAATTTTAATAACATTTTTTTCAAGAATTAAAATATTTTCGTAAAATAATAAAAATCTTTGCAGAGATTCGATTATTTTCAAAATTCTTAATAAAATTCTTCGCAGGAATTCAATTATTTTCAAAAATATCATAATTTTAGCAGAAATTCAAACATTTTAAAAAGTTTTGATAAAACTTTTTTTTGGTAGAAATTTAATTATTTTTAAGACAATTTTTAAAAAAATGTCTCGATAAAATTCAATTATTTTAAAAATTTTAATGAAATTCTTTGAAAGAATTCAATTATCAGAATCTCAGATTTTAACTGAAATCTATTTTTAATCAATATTTATGAGAAAATTCTACCAGAATTCAATTATTTAAATACAAAAATAAATAATTTATTGAATATTGAATGTTTCTTGGAATTCAATTCCCATTAAAAATGTTATCAACAAATTTTTAAATAATTAAAATCTTTGGACGAATTTTAATAAAATTTTTAAGAATTTTTTCGAGGAATTCGATTAAAATTCTATTGAAAATAATTGAATTCCTAAAAAGAATTTTATTATTTACGAAAATAAAAAAAATTTGTTATAAATGAAAATCTTGTGAAATTTTTATTACTTTTTGGAAAAAATTAAAAGTTTTTGTAGAATTTTATTAATTTTCTTTTTTAAATAATTAAATTCTTTTGGTAAATTTTATTAAAATAGTAGATATTGAACCGTATTTAATTTTTGCGAAGAATATTATTACTTTTGAAAATAATTGAAATTTTGCAATGGATTTTATTAAAATTTTTGAAAATAATTGAATTTTGTCGAAGAATTTTGCTATTTATTTATAAAGATAATTGAAATGTTGACAATGTTTTTTAGATATTTTGAAAATAATTGAATTTCTGAGAAGAATTTTAATATTTCTAAAGATTAGTGATGCATTCAAGCAAGACCAAGCAAGAAAATGTCAAGTACAAGAATTTATCTCGACTGTCATTTTAAATTTGAATCTTGTATTGTTTTTAACCAAGATTCTTGGTGATTCTTGGTAATAGAATTTTTTCTGATTAATAATCAATTATAAAATCAAAATTTATTTTCATAAAAATTATATGAAACTAAGACCACTAATTATATAATTTCTTAGAATTAATGCAAAATTTAAAAATAAAATGAGATGAAAATTTGTTAAATTTTAAAACTTTTTATAATTATATATATATATATATTTTAGGGTGCCTACTAACCGAAAAATCCGGGAAAACTGGGAAATAACCAAAAATTTAATATTTTGACCGGGAATTAGCCGGGAATTTTTTCACCAAAATTAAAAGTTTTATTATTTTAATTTGTTTTCAAAAAATTACTTTTTATTTCAATTTTCATAGATATTTATACTGTTCAAACATATTATGTAAATAAATTTTAAAAAATTATAGAATTAATAAAAATATTATGAAATTCAACTAAAAATATGTAATTAAATTTGTTATAGAATTTCATTAGAAACTTTTTAACAAATAGAATTTTCAAAGTATTTTAATTTAAATTAATAATTAAAATTTTTATTAGTTAATTAAAAAAAAAATACATTTTTAATTATAATTATAAAGAATCAAGATTATTTTTAAAAAATTGAAAAAATTGTTTTTTAATTCAATTATTTTTTAATTTTTTAACTAGAATTATTGAAAAAAACATTATTTTCAAAAAATGTAGATTTATTTATGTTCGAAATCAAATTTAAATTTAAATTTGATAAGAAAAAAAACCGGGAATTTTGTTAAACGAAAATAGTACACACGCTGTTATTTAAACATATTTATTGATTTTATCTCAAAATAAAATATTTCTATTTTCAACTTTGTAAATTATTGTTATTTAGTTATTTAAAAAATATATTACATTTAAAAATTATTAAAACTTTACTAATTAATATTATTTAAAATTATTATACAAAAATAAATAAAAAAAATATTATACAAAATTAATTTTCACCAAGAATATTATTTTTATTTTATTATTGAATTTATTGTTAGTTATTGCCAATAATTTATTAAAAAATAATATTTATTTATTTTATTACAAATTTTATTTGAAATATTAATAGAATTGTTTACTATTTAATATTCCTGAAAAATTACATAGATAAACATTTTAATTTTTTACAAAAATAATTAGGCAACAAAATTCTAATTGTTTAATTAGTAATTTTTTTAATTTTAATTATTGTAACTTTAATCAAATTTTTGAAAAATGAAATCTTTAATCATTGCATTATAACAATTTCAAACAAATTAAGTTCACGTATGAAATTTAAACGACAAAAACATCTAAATAGAATTTAGTTCTTTGATAATTGCATCACTTAAGTTACACGTCATCCACGAGTTTAAACAAATCAAATTTTTCGCCGATTCATTGGTTAAACGGTTTCGATGTTTTCGAATAATTAACCCTGCTCTCGAGAAAAGTCTTTCGGCGGGAACTGATGTAGCTTGAATTGAAAATAAATCTTTCGCCATTCTACTTAGATTTGGAAAAATGTTTTCATGATTCTTCCACCATTGCCCGATATCAACGTCTTCAGTGGCTCTTTCTAACAAGAAATACTTGTCGATCTCACTTCGCCAAGAATTCGTAGCATTGTTCAAAGATACTGAGGCTGTGTTTCGCTTTCTGAAAAGTGAATTGATCTTCAGATCATCATCGTCATCATCTTCATCAGGTGTATCTTGATTGCAGGAAAGATCATCGTCTTGAAACATTTCTGTGACATTAGTAGATGTTTTATAATAGGATTCTTTATAAATATTTTCAAACTTTTTAAGCGACTCATTCACCATCTCTTTTCCCCAAGCCGTCAATTGGAAAGTTTCAAGCTTAAATCTCGGGTCCAAAAGAAGGACAGCGCAATACATCCAGTTGAACTTGGAATAGTGCTTCAATATCTTTTCCGTCGCTGCTTCAAGTGCATTTTTTATCTGAATTTCAACTCCACTTTTTCTAATTTTTTGATCGAAAATATTTATTCCATCCTGAAGTTTATCTAATAGCATGTTGAAACCTACCACAACCATTGGGATTGTAATATACTTTTCACCTGATAAGGTTAGCGACAATGTTTTAAAGTATCGTAAATACTTTAAAATACCTTCAAGAAGTTGCCATTCGGATTCTTGCAGACAGAATTTATTTAAATCGGGATTGAGTTTACATAATAATTTTAACGCTGGTTTCATACGAAGTGCGAGTTTTATCATCTCGTATGATGAATTCCATCTCGTCGCGATGTCAATAGTCGGTGATAAAATTTCAACTTCAACGGTAGCGCAACAGCATTTCAATTTTTCGCGTAATTTCTCCGAATATTTTAATTTCTTGAGGAGCCCTCTTAGTCTTTTGATCACACAAGTATTTTCTGACATCTCGTTGTCTTCAATGCTGTCTTCATTTTCGAGTGTTCCTGTTTCCATCGACTTCTTCATCGCTTTCTTCAAAATCATCTTGAATACAAAGTTCCTTCAAAAAATCTTGAACAGACAAATTCAAGATGTGAGCAATGCACCGAAAATGTATATCATTGATGTCGAACTTTCTACCAAAAACCTGTTTCATTAAATTGCCTAATTCTTGAATAAACTTTGTATTAGCAGCTGCGTTGTCCATTGTGATGCCTTGCAATTTGTTGTCCAATTCATACTTGACAAGAACATCGTGAAAGAGATTCGCTATGTCCTTACCCGTATGATTTCCGTTCGACGGTATGAAATCAAGAACAAGCGATCGCAATATCCAATCTTCACTTATAAAATGCGCAGTTATTCCATAAAACGATTTGTTGGCTACCGAAGTCCATCCATCTATGGTAAACGAAAGTTTAGACGAGTTATTTTTCAAAATCTTCAGTACAATTGCCTTCACTTCATGATATCTTGATAACACTATGGATTTCATTTTAGTTCGGTGAGGTATATTTGCTTTCGGATTCAAATAATTTAATAATTTCTGCGACTGTTCATCATCCAATAAATTGAAAGGCAGATATTTTATTGCAATCCAATCAGCCAGTTGCTTCTCAAAAATTTCTTGCACAAATTTTTGGTTCTGCTAAAATAAATAAATAATTTGCAACAATTATTTTTTATTTAATTAAATTACAAATTTTTTTAATTTTATACATGTGCTTGATAATTTTATTTTAGTCAAAATTTTATTAAAAAGCTAATAAAAGTTTGGACATTTCTTTATACAGTTTAAAACATTCCCATAAATAAATTTTTTTTTTAAATTTAAATATTTATAAATTTTTGTTTATTGTTATTTTATTTACTATTTTTAGAAATTATTTTTGTTTACTTATTATTTTTATTATCATATTTGCATTATTATATTAAATTATTATTATTGTTAATTATTATTATAAATATTTTGTTTATTTATTTACAAAAATAAATAAGAAATTATTACTCATTTTGAAAATAAAAACTTATAAAAATTTATAATTCCAAAAGAATAATTTTTTTAGATTTTGGATTGTATAATTTTCTCTTTTTTAAATAAATAATCATGTATAATAAATAATTTAGTAAACATATACAAGGCTCGAACCAGATAAATAATTTAAAAATACAGACATTACGGACCAAAAATGAAAAATTACGGACCAATTACTGACAAAAATATAACCAGTCAGTGTCAAAAAATTTTACTTAAATTGTTAGATTGTTTTATCATGTTTTATAATAATTAATGACCGAGTGATAAAATCATTATCAATTCAATTATTATTTTCAAGAATTTTTAACTAATATTCTTCTTTAAATCGATTATTTTTAATAATTTTCGAAAAAGTTCTTCGACAATTTTCAAATCCATTTCTTTATAATATTCAATTTTACGAATTTTCAATTATTCGTAAATTCTTCAATGAAATATATATTAGAATATTAAAATTGTGTTAAAAATAAGTAAAATTCTGCAATGAGTTTTATTATTTATGAAAATAATTTTAGAAGAGAAGAATTTCAATATTTCTAAAAATAATTGAAATTTTACAATCATTTCTAACTTTTTCAAGATTTTCAAAATGATATCGTACATAATTTACGAACTTTTCGTCTTTTCTAAATAAAATTACGGACTTTACGGCCCTTTTTGAAAAAAACGGATTTTTACGGGATTTAGGGTTTTAGTTCGAGCCCTGCGTATAATAATATTAATAATATTTTAGAAATATTAATAAATAATTATAACAACAGTAAAATAATTTATATTTTAGAAAATGAGAGAAAAACTATTTTTATTTTTAAAAATTATTTTTTCAGATTTTTTGGTTAAGAACACAGTATTTAATTTAGTTTATTACGGAACAAATTTAATATAATTCCCATTAGTTTTAATTACCTGTAATTCAACATTTTCTTTATAAACTTCCTGATATTCTTGAGGATGGAATTTTTTCAAATGCCTTTTGATGCCCGATGTATTACAATTTTTCATTTTTATTATTTTTTAGGGTTCCGTACACCTACGGTGTAACGGCGGAACCCTATTGGTGAGACTCTGTTGTCCGTAGCCAAATCGTGTCCCCCCCCCTAGCGGCTAAACTATTTGACCTAAAGAGCTCAAATTTGGTCCAGATATGTATTTTCACTCGTAGATTACAGGAAAAATATAGCGAATGTGATTGGACGTGATGGTCATAGCGTTGTCAAGGAAATAACAAGATTTTTGGCCAAAAATGCATAAAAAGTGACCATTCCCCCCCCCTTAACTTCTAAACTATTCGACATGGAGAGCTGAAATTTTGCATGCTGGTGTATTTTTACTCGAATATTACAGGAAAAATATAGAGAACTTGATATGTAATGATGGCCATAGCGTTGTCAAGGAAAAACTAAAAAAATTTTTAAAAAAAATTTTTTTTCTCTAACTTTCACATTATTTGACCTAATGAGCTGAAAATTGGTATCCTAGTGTATTATTACAGTCTGACGACAAAAAATTTATTTAAGAAACTTTTTGAAAAAAAAATCAAAAAAAATTTTTTTAAATTTTTTTTTCAAAAAACAAAAAATTTTTTTAATTTTTTTTAGTTTAAACACGTGGCATTAAATATTTTAAGGAAGAGAGTGAAATTTTAAGAGAATAAATGAGAGATTGTTTTCTGACTTTAATTTCTTAACTAAAAAAAAAAAAAATTGGACAAGTGCGAGTTGTACTCGCACTGCAATGGCGGGTTCCGTACACAAATATTAAAACAATACTTGCAACATTTATCGGTAATTGATAGAATTAAAATAAACAATTAAAAAAATATATTGAAATCATTTGATAAAAAAAATAACTAAAAAAAATTAAAGTATTGTATATCTAATATTGTAAACAATAATAAGCAGAGGAACTATAATTTTGAAAATTTTGTTCCTCTGCTTATTATTGTTTACAATATTAGATATATACAATACTTTAATTTTTTTAGTTATTTTTTTTATCAAATGATTTCAATATATTTTTTTAATTGTTTATTTTAATTCTATCAATTACCGATAAATGTTGCAAGTATTGTTTTAATATTTGTGTACGGAACCCGCCATTGCAGTGCGAGTACAACTCGCACTTGTCCAATTTTTTCTTGATTATTATTTGTGGATGAACAATATTTGCATCTCGCAAATTTCTCTCCTTGGGCATCAGTTTCAAATTCAAATATTGAGTCCAGAACTGCATTTCGGTCATGCCTTTTAATTCGTTTGGAGCTGCTTACAATATTACTAATAATAAAAAAATTAATTAAAAACAAAATTCATTAAATTCATTTAACCTATCATACTTTTCATCTTCTGCGGATGCGTTCCTTCTCATCGTTTTTGCATTCGTTGTTGTTTTTTCCGAGGTTTTCTCGACTTCCATTCTTATTAAATCTGAGATTTTAACCAATCAATCTAATCAAGCATTACCGAGTTCCATTCCTATTAAATCTGACATTTTAACCAATCAATCTAATCAAGCATTACCGAGAATTGTCAATGTTTAAACAATTGAACATCCAAGACTCTTGGGTTTTCAAGATTCTTGTTACTTCAAGTAATATGAAACAAGTTCAAGATAATCTTGTCTTGAAGTGCATCACTACTAAAGATAATAATTGAAATTTTGACGAGAATTTAAAAAAAATTTTGAACATAATTAAATTTTTGCGAAGAATTTCATTACTTTTAAAAATATTTGAATTTCTGAAATCATTTGTAATTTCTCTAAAATTCTCAAAATTATATCGTACAATTTATGAACTTTTCATCTTTTTTGAATGAAATTACGGACTTTACGGACCTTTTTTCAAAAAAACGGACGTTTACGGACTTCAAGCAAAGTTACGGACTTTTACGGGATTTACGGACCTACTTCGAACCCTGCTAATAGAACACGGGGAAAAATGCACAAAAATAACACATTATTTGCGAAAGAGACAGTGGAATAAGTTTCCTATTTTTTAAACATCGGTCTCTCATCCACAGACAATCTTTAATAAATACAAAAATTCCTGGGTATTAAAAGCAAAATTTCTCGTCTCATCATAATGAAGAATTTCACTACATGAAAATATACACACGTATATATTCAAATAATAATCGATCAATCAGAAAATATTAATTTCCCCGGAGTGTCACGTCTCTCCGCCAACACGTTGAAGACCATAAAACGTTATTGCGTTGGGTCAGAGCGAGAAGTACACATGGTGAGAGTTTGGTGACCAAAGATATATACATATATATACACGTAGTAGTCGACACGTGAACTGTCTTCCATACTATCTTTTTAACAGAGTGTGTTCGTCACAGTTTTCTCGAGCAGTTGTTTTCTGTTTCTTTTCTTTTTTTATTTCTTTTCAGCAGAGAAAATAAATTTTTACTAGCCTTCCAACGAACGACCTAAAGCAATTGTGCGCAGAGTGTGGATTTCACTGTTGTTATACGAACACGAAACAACCAAGAACAAGAAGTCAAGGTAGGCAGTCAGGCAGGCACTCTCAGGCAGACGGGAGAGATAGTCAGAAGGGTAGGCGCTCCCGGTGCAAGTAGGTTTAATATTTGATACCGCGGGCTGGTCATCCTGCCGAGGCGATAACACAGGCCCCGCGGGAACCTTACAGCCAACATCCCTCGGAAACGACTGCCCTCTCTCTCACTCACTCTATATAGAGTCTACATCCTCACCTGCAAACCTATTCCTCCTCTAGCCTCTGCAGCTAACCTACACACACACCAACCCAGGCAGTAGCCGCCGCCCAACCAACCACCGACCGTTGTAACTACCTTTTTCGGAAAATTAATAACGATCGCACACGTAAGAGAGCAGCGGCTAGATGAGCAACTTCTTCTTTTCCACTTTTCCTGCGCTCTACTCTAGCATGCACTTCCACATC